AGAGAGAGAGAGAGACGAAGCGTGGTCCACGATTCGAGCACTTGATGGTGGCAGGGGGAAAAGGTGACGGTCTCCCCTGGGGCGAATGCCGAGCTTTTAGCTCGGCTATCCTTTGTTTGAGGGCTGCGACCTCGTCAGTGTCGCGCCCAATTGTTTTTCCCTGTTCAATGACCTCCCTAAGGTCACAGTTAGCCTGGCTCTTGTCGCCCAATCGTTGATGGATGGGCCGGCAGACGATTTGCATGCTTTGTTCCGGGCGAATTTCGCCAGTTTGTTCGGTGGGTACCGGTCTCGCGCTTTTCTTGCAGTGGTTCCGAGCTTCGTGGTTGGGTGATTGAGTCGTGGTCTTAGACAAAGTTGGCTTCTTCCTTTGCCCTCCGGTCTCTTTGTCGGGGGTTTGGAGCAGTGTATTGCCTGAACTTTTCGTGGCCGCCACGTTATTCGCCCCGGCTGCGTGGCTGGCCAATGCCTTGGCGGAAGCTCCTCAAGGACTTTAAGGACGTCGGGGTGCTTCATTACTGCAGCGAAGGTCGGGACTGGCGGGGCAGGGGCTTGAGTCCCCTGTTGAGCGCGGTGTGAGGTTTCTTCGACGTTGCGTCAGCGGGATTGAGCTCCGGACTGGTGGGTTGACTCGTCATGACCGGATGAAGTAATTTTTGAGTGAGTTGTTAAAGCGAAAAAGTGAGGGAAAAAGGTGAGTTCAATGTGGAGTTCCACAAGATCGAAATGTTGACACCAAATAACTTACGGTGTCCTCCTTCTAGCGCCAAACTGTTGATGGACAGATTCGATCAACGGTTAATATATGAATAGTGAAAATGGGAAGTAGAAAACTAGAAGAAAGTACGATTTCGTTAAGTTTTATTAAGTAATTACGAGGTCAGCCCCTGAACTTGAGGTCGACACTTAGCTTACACTTGAGAATAATTACGAGTATTTATTACAGGATTCTAGAGAGAGAAAATAGTAGTTGAGAAAATCAACAATCCAAAATAAATGAAATGGGCTCCTATTTATAGTATCCTTAAATGTGGCACTGTTCAAGTACTGTTCACCGGTCTTATTGCACAGTGTTGTTGCTAGGGGTGGTATCGGTTCGGTAACCGAACCGATAAGCGTATACCGATACCGTACCGATAATGTCGGTAACCTCGAAATGCAAAACCGATACCGAATTGATTAAAGTCGATCACCAAAAAATCGATAACCGAAAACTCGGTTCGGTTTTATATCGAAAAACCAAACCGATTTGGAGCATAAAAAAAATTTCTAGTGTTCACGTTTCTCGTCATTTTTGTAACTTTTTCACATCTTACCAATTAAATAAACACAAAAGACACACAAATTCATTGAAGGATTAAAAAGCTTAAATTTAATATATAGAAGTTAGTTTAAATATAATAAGATTATGGTTTTTGTGGTAAACCCAACTAATAAAACAATATACTGCTAACATGCAAGAAATAAAATTTGTAATACAACTTCAACTAACTTATCTAGTGACGGTGGTACGATAATAGACTACTGTAACGGTAGCATCTTCTTTAGAAGGAGTGAGACTGGTAAACCGATAATGTTGCGATTAGAAGGTGAATGAGGCGATGAATAGTGGTATTTTTCTCGTCATTTTGATATTTAGGTAGGATTTAGCCCTTATTTCATTTTTGAACACTAAACAACTAATCCTTGTTTTAATATTTTAAAAAAAAATATTTTTTTTTACCAGTATCAGTTCGGTACCTGTTTTACCGAACTCTTATGGGTTCAAACCGATACCGTACCGATAGTGATTCGATAACGTATAGTCGGTTACCATTACAAGCGGTTCGGTACGGTTCGGTTTATTTTCTCGTCGGTTCGGTTTGGTTTTCGGTTTTCATTAATTGTTGCAGGGCAGACCGGCGGTGCTCTGACAGTATTAAATGCTATGAAAAGTTTTCTTAATCATTGTCTGTCAGGCATTTAATGCACACATGGTGGGCATTTAATGCTGGCAGGCTTTATGGTCGGGCTAGATGTTGTAGGGTGGCAGGCAATGACGGCTTGTCTAATCGTCAATGATCACCCTCTAAGTGGTAGTATTATATTATTATCGAGCTCCGCGCTCGTCTCTGGGGTACCCGCACTAGATTTCCACGTCGGCTCCCGTGCACAATGTCTTCCGTAAGCCTTCAGGATTCTTTCTTCAGCTCGACGCCTGATGAGATCGACATCATCTTATGAACGAGCTGGGTGCCGACCTCAAGTGTGGCACCACACGGCGGCGGTGAATATTTTAGTCTCGGATTCAGTTCGACACTTACACATTCGACTGGGTTCCCGGTCCGGCTTTTGGAGTTGTCTTCATCGGTCTCCTTTCGGCTAACTTGGATGTCAACAACTTTAAAGTGTAGAAAACACTATAAGAATGTGATGAACTTTTTATGATAAATTGCAACGAAAATATATTTCAATGTAATTCCAATGACAATTCTAATGAATATTCCAATACTATTATTTCCGTTGGAATTTTCCAATTGATTCCAACGAAAGTTCCAAAAAAAAATATTTCGTTGGAATAATTTTCTATTGGAATTTGCATTGGATTTTAATGATTCCAACGGCTCATTATGCAATAGTTGAAATGTGGGTGAAAATAAAAATTTTAACGGAAATTGTATATTCCAACGGAAACTTCTACGTTAAATAATTGTTGGAATAATGGTCATTGGAATGATAAAATTTCATCTAAATTCCAATGGAAAACTTATTCCAATGGAATAATTCTGTAGGAATTATCGTTAGAATTATTCTAATGAAAACTATACCATTGGAATATATTATCGTAGAATTTTCTATTGGAATGTTGTATTTTTTGTATAGTGAAACTCGAGCATCGCTAAAGACGAGTTTATTGTTAAGTACATCTAAAATCTAAAATGAACTTAATTTCCAAATTTATTGTTAATTATATCTAAAATCTAAAACCAAACTTTATATGTAAAATTTAAAAAATCAACTTAAATTGCCAGACCATATATACTATATAATCGGGAAAATTTCAAAACTAGTCCCACATGTATAGGGGGTGACATTTTTGGTCCCAACGGAATTAAAAAAATATTAATAGTCCCTCAGCTTTTGAAAAATAATCAAAAGTAGGACTTTTTTCAATTTTCCGGCCCGGAATGCCACGTCGCACACACGTGGCGGGACTATTTAAGATTTTATGGATTCTTTTGGGACAAAAAATGTCACCTCCCAAAACCTGTGGGACTAGTTTTGATTTTTTTTCCTTGCCATTGTACTCAGCCACGTCAGATGAATGTGGCCACGTGGCATTCCGGGCCGGAAAATTAAAAAAAGTCATACTTTTGATCATTTTTTAAAAGCTGCGGGACTATTAATATTTTTTGCATTCTGTTGGGACAAAAAATGTCACCCCCTATACATGTGGGACTAATTTTAAATTTTTCCCCTATATAATCTGACAAGATTGCTACAAGATCGCAGTCGCGAATCAATATGCTAAATTTATTGTATCAATCTCTTCACTAGTAGATATAGACTATGTTTGGTAAAATTAGCTGATAAGCTAGCTGATAGCTGATAAGCTAGCTTATAACTTATATGTAATTTTTGAGCTTATAGCTTATAGCTTATGACTTATAGCTGAAAAGCTAGCTTATATGATAAAAGGTGTTTGGTAAATTAGCTGATAAGCTAGCTGAAATAAAAAAATTCAACTAGCTTATTTGAAAAGCTACCTAAAGTAGCTTATGAAATAAGCTCGAGCTTTTTAAAAAAGTTCGTCCTACCAAACGAGGCTTATTTTAAACAGGGAGCTTATAAGCTAACCAAATAAGCTAAAAGCTAGCTTATTTGGCTTACCAAACATACCCATACCTGATCATATATTATTTAAACCTCTAATGTTCCGACTGTTCAAATTGTTGAAAGCTCATATACAATCATCAACTTATTTGAATGGCACATGTCAATAATAAAACCAACGTTAGAGTTAAATGAGTCTATATTAATAAGTACATCACACTGTTGAATTTTGTTGATAATTGTACGTACTTAAGCTAAGATAGTATGTGTAAATCAAATTCTAATAACGAC